CATGACTCCTCCAAGCCAACCTTCACAACACAACCTGCCTCAGCAGTTATCCGGTCGCACGAGCTTCGACCGAGGGGATTCGGGTCTACAGCCCCCCAATGGCGCCAACGCCCGAAATCTCTCGGCTTCGGCCGTATCTTTTGCGCCAAGGGGAAGTAGTCTCAATGTTGCTCCCGGCAGCTTCAGTTCAGAGTTGCGTAGTCGGGCTGGAAGTAAGACTGAAGCGGGGTCAATATACCCAAGCAGCTTCATGGACAAGGTGGAAGAGGATGACGCAGACACGCTAGCTGAGCAAGCTCTGGCACATCTGAAAGAACGACTCAACCGTGAGATGAAAATCAAGGAGGGGAGTGAGAACATGCTCGAGGCGCTGAACTCTAAGAAAGCGAAGCAGACCAAAGAGCAACGACAAAAGGTTGAGGCGGAGCTTAACGCTAGTAATTCGCGTATCAAGGACTTGCGCCAAAAGATTTCAGATGCTCAACATACACGACAGATTCCACCTGCGACGCCAAAACGAAATCGTACCCAGAGCAACGTTATCGAATCCGGGAGACCAATTGGACTGCGTTCGCCACAAAGCGTGTCACGATCTGTCGTAGAATCTGACAATGAGGAACCAACAGAAAGTCCAACATTTGCGCTTGCGGAACTGCTCCAGGCCTTGGAGGTTGAGGGCATGATGCCGGAGTACTACGTCTCACGGGGGAATCAGCTTGTCGATCTCTTTAAGCGTTACCCAACTCTGAAGTACGACTTGGTCTGGTCAATCTTTGGGCTCCGCATGCAGGTAATGCTCCTAAGCGAGAGTCGCGAAGTCGTGGCTGCTGGCTACCGAATGACCAGATATGCCATTTCAGACGTGGCATCACTTAAGAAGATCCGGAGTTTGAACACGGATTATCTGGTGATACGGTACGTACTTCGACTGTGGCCGCGCCCTTTTTACTGACATGATCAGATCACTTAACAACTACCGCAAAGCGGATGTTGAACGCGAGCAGGCCCTCAAGTTCGTCCGTGCATTTCTTGATGTAAAAGGCGGAGTGAAAGAGATCTCTCGAGCAGTGGTGCGCACGATCGTTGCAGTTGCAGAACATGGAGAAGACCGACGTGCAAATGCCCAGCCGGCCGAGGGAGATTTGGACCGTTTAAGGCCTATCTGCATTGAGACATTAGCAGAAATCATAGTGCAAGATCCAGCACTCTTGGTGGCATCTGGTGGCTTGGGACCATTGACCGAGGCCCTTTCAGAAGGCGTCTACAAATCCCCCGAGAGTTTGACCTCTGCATTTTTATACCTGCTCGACTCACCCCGAAAGCGGAAATACATACAGCCAGGCTATGGTCTGGAAGTGCTATTTACTGTCTTTACCGACCATCTCCTGACCAACGAAAGTATCATGAAACAGAACTCCAAAGCCATTGCAACAGCTTTGAAGTCATGGCCAGGGCTCATGACTCTCTGCATGTATGATCTCCGAACAATTCGATCCTTGATCACGAGCATGCTATTGCCGAGCGATGTGGTTCGGGAGACCATTCTTGATCTTATATTCTCACTTCTACGGATCAAACCGCCAGCGTGGGCAACCTCTTTTCTTGCTGGAAGGAGATTGACAACTTACGGCCGAGTTGCGAACTTGAAGTCAAACCAAAAGGACAAGAGCCACTTACAGTTCACAGAAGAAGACAGCGGCGAACAAAATTTCGTCGAGCACTACACAGCTCTGTTACTGGCAGTACTCATTCGAGCAGGCCTCCTACCAGTGCTACTGAAGATTGCTCAAGGGGACGAGAATCCAACTCTCCAACGCAAGACGACCCTTCTGATTAGCGAGGTGTTGAAACTTGCCAGTCGCCTCTTACCTCCGTCCTGGAGCGCCGAGCTTCACCTCCTGCCAGAACTCTTCACGTCGGCTGCCAACATTGGCAACAATGATCATTGGGTCGCATCGGGAATCGTTTACCAGATCAGCAGTGTCAGTCGTACTTTGTACAGAAGTGCGCCTACGGGTGCCTTATCCGGGCCGCTGTCGTCAGGTCACAACTCGAATGACATATCCGCGATTGATGAGGCCCCCAAATCCCACCAATCTCTGGTTTTTGATGATGCGACTTTCCGGCAACTGTTGATCGATAGTAATGTCCTCAACAGCTCGAACTATGCTAAGTGGAACTGGGAGACTATTCTCAAGATCATTGACGGCCCTCTACAAAGCGGCAAGAGACTTGAAGAGGCCATCAAAGCATCCAAGTTCATGAAGAGAATCATCAGCTTCTATCGGCCTTTCAAATACAGGTTTGCTAATGTCAAAAACACTCGTGCCACACAGAAGTATGTCCGAGCTGGTTGTGCTCTGATGCACTCTCTGCTTCAGTCTCCTGAGGGAATCAAATTCTTGGCAGACAGCAAGTTGCTCAGACAGATAGCTGAGTGTCTAGCACAATGCGATCCGGTAAGACTTTTTGCTCTTATGGTTTCCTGAATTTGATCACTAACACCACTTCCTCCAGACTAGCGGCCTCACAGCCCAGTATCCAATGTTCTCAAGAGATCGAGTCACTGACACACTTTGCGCGGGCTACTTCTCAATGCTTGGTGTTTTAAGTGGTGATCCTAAAGGCCTTCAACTGCTAGAGCGTTGGAGGATGTTCAATATGATGTATCACATCGTGGACTTGAAGCAGAGGCCCGACCTCATCAAGTTACTTCTGTCAAGCTTCGATTATAGCGTCCAGGGCCATCCTCGAGTCTTGTTGTCTAAAGCTTTGACCGCCGGTACGAAGGAAATCCGAATTCATGCAACGAATGCCCTTCGCAAATACGCTATTCGGCCGGTACCATCCGACAACGGACAGGGTGGCGTCAGTGACTCGAAATGGGCCATTCAGCTTCTGGTAACACAGCTTTACGATCCCGAGATTGAGGTTTGTGCTACAGCTGTGAAGATCTTGGAGAAAGCCTGTAATCGCAAGACCTACCTGGAGTACATTGTTGAATGCCGGCCAGCTCTTGACCACCTGGGAGAAATCGGAGCACCGCTGCTCTTACGGTTCTTATCAACATCCATTGGATACCATTACCTGGATGGACTGGATTACATCAGTAACGAAATGGACGACTGGTTCTTGGGACGGAACGATACATATGTTAGGGTCATAGAGGCAAGCTTGGCCAGAGCGTTCCTCGTTGATCCCGACGAGCACAATCCTCGCATGAGTTTATTTGACGACAGTGAGATGGACGGGGACTACCATGACAACCATGTACCGCCGCACTTTTATCGAGAGTTGACCCGTACGCAGGAGGGATGTAGGCTGCTGAGTGATAAAGGTCACTTTGAGGATTTTGCAGCTACGATTCGTGAGCATGGCATGGATAAGGGAGATGCGGAAATGCTTACGAAGGTGAAGGGCTGCCTCTGGGCTGTTGGCAACGTTGGGTCCATGGAACTCGGAGCACCATTCTTGGAATCTAACGACGTGGTAGAGCATATCATTCGAATTGCCGAGACCCATGAAGTAATGAGTCTAAGGGGCACTGCATTCTTCGTTCTTGGTCTGATTTCTCGCTCTACACATGGTCTGGAGATTCTATCTGAGCATGGATGGGATGCCAACACAACACCAATGGGTACCTCGCTTGGATTCTGCATTCCTAATGACCTATCAAGGTTATTATCACTGACAGCGTGGAAACAAAAGACGGTAACGTCGATCACCCTGCCGTCAAGTCAAAGGACAGCCCAGGAGGCACCACCACCTCGCGCCGCTCGACCACCTCTTGAGCCAGCAGAAATACCTGCTATGCTGAGTGAGGCGGATATTAACAGAAGAGTGCTGGAACTCATCGTGGACCTGGGAAATATGGTCCTCTACAAGAAGGCGCTTACTGACCTCCAGAAGCTTCGGGCACACAAACCAAGCGCGTTCAAAAGTACACAGTTCTTCAAGGAAGTGATGAGCGCAATGGAATGGAACCACTACCGGTTAGGGGTGAGAAGGATGGTTATAGATTTGTTCGACAAGAACGTGATGCGGCAAATAGTGTTCGATGAGGAGGAGGATGACGAAGATGACGACAGTAGCGATGATAACAGCCAAGAGGAAAGTGAAGATGAAAGCGGCGAGGGCGAAAATAGCTCCGGGGATGACAGGACAGAGAGGCAACGGAGCATCAGCGAGCCGCCGGCACCGCCACCAGATCTTACACCAGCTCCTCTCAGGTTGAGGAGATGAGACATGGGCAATGATATTTCGGAGATATAAGATGACTACATAGCCAAAAGCAACACGACGTTGGAAAGTTTCAACTACACGATACCAATGACAAGAATCACGATGGCACGTTAAGGGGTGGCAGGCGGGTCTTGAGCTGTATATATCTTTGTGACGAGTAACTAGTCGCTGTAAAGCGCATTGGTGTCTGGTCTGGGTTTTGGATGATGGAGTTTTGGGCAAAACATGGAAGAAGGGATACTTCTGGTTTTATCCGAGACGGCTTTTCTTTCTTGGAACGAGACCAAGTTGAGGTTGAGGATACTGTAGTAAGATACTAAAGCATTGCTCGCGTAATTCGACTGCTAGTAGCATCGATGCATCATATACCCAAATTACAAATCAGTCTACCTACGACAAGCATTCGTGATGTTGAAGATATTAATAAGTAGGCAGGTATGTTGAGTTTGCGTACATTTAGCCGGGCAATTTCAGGGAGTAACATCATGACCTGATGTTGAACGTATGTACTTATGTACGACTTGCAATTATAGGTGATGACGGTGAATTACTCGGCCCCACCAGAACCATCCACAGGCATCGCCTGCCAATGCCAACCAACGCCGCTTCCATGAGTAACCGAACGCGGGATTAAGAGCGAGCTCAGCTCCGATCGAGGCCAAGTTACTCCTTCACGACACCTATATCATATTGTATCTTTTCTTGGTAGAATCACCATACTTGTCATTCTTTAAACCCTCCTAAAGATAACCTCCATCATGGTACAAGGGCGAGTGCTTGTCATCGCGGGGTCAGACAGTTCGGGCGGAGCGTGAGTATAGTTTTGCTTTATACCTTAGGTACTCAGAGTGGCACGATGAAGCTTTTTGCAGGCGATTTCGTGATGTTTTTATTTTATCTTCAATCGCAATATATGCTGACAGAAAATCATCAGTGGACTTGAAGCGGATCAGAAGGTCATTGCTGCTCATGGCTGCTACGCTATGACAGCCACTACGGCTCTTACTGCGCAAAACACTCAAGGCGTCAAGGGCATTCATGTCATTCCCACCGATTTTGTGTCTCAGCAGATCGATGCCTGTGTTGAAGATGTCGGTGTCGATGTTGTCAAGACCGGTAAATTGGTCAACGATCCTGCTGTGTCACACAATGACTAACACCTTGATAGGCATGCTTGCTTCTACAGAGACAATAGAGATGGTTGCAAAGAGCATGGTTAAGCATAGCATCCTGTCACTTGTCGTAGATCCAGTATGTGTCTCCATACATACATACATACATACATACATACATATCTATCTATTTCTGTACCTTTCTAACAATCAACTTCCAGGTCATGGTTTCGACTTCTGGTGCAACACTTCTCCCCAATGAAGCCATCCAACATCTCTGCAAGCACCTTCTACCGCACACTAGCGTCCTTACGCCAAATATTCCTGAAGCCATTCTTATTCTTTCTCAAAATGGCCAAGAAGCCCCCGAGGTTCGCAGTGTGCAAGACCTTGAGACTGTAGCCCAGCGAATCCAAGTCCTGGGGCCTACGTGGGTGCTCGTCAAGGGCGGACACCGACCGATGAAGGAGGACTTGACTGTGGCTGATACAGAAGAAGAGAGAAAAATTGTTGTGGACGTTCTTGTTGGTGGTGATGGTGAGGTTGTCAGAGTCAAGAGCCCATATCAGGCGAGCTCGAGTACTCATGGCACGGGATGCTCTTTGGCGTGTAAGTGACAAACTTACCCAAGAACTCTAGTCACATACTAAGGAGTTTATTAGCGGCCATCGCATCAAACTTGGCCAAGGGACTTAATACACCTACGGCTGTCCGGTCAGCGTGCCGATACATTGAAGCTGCCATTAGAACAGCCCCTGGTCTTGGTAAGGGGCATGGTCCCCTAAACCACTTCCACTCGACCTACACTCTTCCATTTGCTCCGTACGTTCAGAAAGCTTTACCATCTGTTGTTGTACTAATTCGCTAAACAGCGGCTACTTCATCGAGTGGCTTCTCGAGCGCCCTGATGTCCGCGACGTCTGGAAGGAGTTTGTTTACCATCCCTTCGTCATGGCTATGGGTGACGGAACTCTACCTCTCGAATCTTTCAAGGGCTACATCATTCAGGACTACCTATACTTGGTTCGTCTTCGAAACATATAAAGATCCCAAGCTAATCATTATTTACAGATTCACTTTTCCCGTGCCAACGCCCTGGCTGCCTACAAGGCGCAAAACATTGAGGATATTTCTCGAGTATGTTCTCTTGACTCTATATTGTACGCAATCTCGTGACCTCTCTTTAGGCAACCGAAATTGTTCAGCATATCATGCATGAACTGAAGCTCCATACCTCATACTGCGAGAGCTTCGGCGTTTCCATCGAGCAGATTCGTGCCACGCCAGAGAAACAGGGCAAGTTCAAGCAGGTTCATGTGAAGTGATCTTTTTCTGACTTTCTCCGTAGCCTGCACCGCATACACTCGTTATGTCCTTGACGTTGGTCAGAATGGCGATTGGCTTGGTCTTCAAATGGCTCTTGCTCCGTGCCTTCTTGGTTATGGTGCCGCAGCTAAGATGCTACTTGGCCATGAGAAGACTGTCCGCGAGGGAAACACATACTGGGCGTGGATCAAGAACTACAACGAAGAGGACTACACCGATGCTGTCAAGTTGGGCTCAGGTGAGTCTTGTTCAGTTTCGTCGAGTATCTATCTGTCTATTAACCAACTTGTAGCCTTGCTCGAAAAGCATATTCAACTGCAGTCACCTTCGCGAATTGAGGAGCTTGTTCAGATCTTCATCCACGCTCTTAAGGTATATTATCGTCCTCTGAAGTAGTGACCTTTGACTGATACGATTTAGATGGAAATTGGCTTTTGGGAGATGTTCCCTGCCCAGCGGACCTAAGTCAATATACATACACAAAAACCGGAGAAGCAGACTAGATCGATCAATTAATAGACATAGAATTGAGTATACACTTGGTTCCGTATGTTTCCTTGTTTATGTCACAAAATCCAACGTAGGTATCTGACGCCTGGTCCAGCCATACTCCTTTCAAAGGTGCCTCTATATATCATGCATGTTTCTCAAACCCATCCTATACCATCTCCACTGGGCGTGGTCTCTCATCGTCTTGCAGCATATATCTAAAGTCCTGCTCGGGAGGGGGAGCCAGAGGCGGAACTGGGGGAGCGTCGCTATCAAGGCTGTTCTCTTGTTGTCGTTGAGCTCGTCGCAATTGCCCATTCTGCTGCTTCACCCACGAGTTCACTGAGCGGAAGCGTGGTCGTGTATCGACTGAAGCTACGGTAGATACAGTATCACGGCGACCGACAGAGTTGGTAGACTTCCATGTTGGTTGTCGTGAAGGCTCTGGTCGCGATGGGACACTTTGGACGGTCTGAGTGGTAGGCGTCACGACGATGTCGCCGTCACCGAAGCCAGAGGAGATCGAGGAGAGTTCGCTAACACCGGTCTGACGTCGCCCGACATCGTAGGCATATGGTGTGGTAGAGGGAATTCGCTTGTGTTGTTGCGGTTTGTACGGTGTGCTCAGAGAGTCCTTGGGATCATGACGAGCCACGACCTGGACCTCGACAGCGCGCTCAACAAAGGTTGTGCTTGTAGGACTGACAGCGTCAATGTCATAGTTTGTAACCCCTGTCCTTCTGTCGCCAGTCGTACGATAAACGCCGAATGGTAGACTGGGCACTGTGAGGAAATTGTCAGATTGCTTAGGCATGAAGAGTGGTGACTGAGGCCGTGTCTTTTCAGCGAGGGGTGGAGAGTAAGATGGAGGAGAGTAGGATGGATCTTCAATTGTGTACCAGCCCTTGTGACCGTAGCGTGATCCGAGGAAAGGCACCTTGGAAACGAGGTTTTCAAAGCGGCTGGGCTTGTCGAAGTTCATGTCATCAATGGGAGGAGGCTTCTTTGGCGACTGCTTCCTTGAGTAGAACTTCCAGATGAGGAACCCAATTCCAAGTAGGAATAGAAAACCGCCTTGATATCGTGTTAGCAGTCTATAATGTTATAGGTGAGGTGGACAGGTAGAGCATACCGACGGATCCAACACCCAGCAGGATCTTGTGGACATTGGAATGAATACCATCACCACCTTCGACCTTTAGAGGAGTTAGTAAGACCGAGTTTGCCTGGCATTTGACGTCTTTCAATCCGAAACGACTTGGATATGATCCACGAGCGGGTCAAGGAGCTGACTTACCAAAGGAGAATCAGACATACTTCCCTCAGCAGATGGAGCGTCGACTGATGGTGAGTTTGTCGATGATGCAGGGAGTTTGATGTTGAGGGGGTTGCCGTCGTCACTGGTTTTGTCTTCTTTGCTCTTCTTGGGCTCTTCATCCTCGTCCTCGCTCTCGCTCTCACTTCCACTGTCGGCTGCGTCGTCACCTTCACTCTCACTGTCGCTACTATCTTCCTTCTTCGCGTCCTGCTTCTGCTTCTCGGTCGCAGGGTCGATAGTATCGGTCCGCTTGGCATAAGGCTCTCGTAGGATGTTGATCATGACCTCAGGCTCCCTGGATGACGTTGGAACATTGCTTCGTCTGACTCTCGGCCTTGTTGTGCGCTTCTTCATAATGTGAACATCATAGTCGTCGCTGTCATCAGCGATGGTCCAATCCGGCAGAGTCGCACCAAAAGCCCTCTTTGCTTGTCTCTGCCACCGAAGGTGATGGGGCTCATCAAAGGGCGCCATTGTCGAAGTAGGTATTCTGAGTTGTGTTGATTATAAACAAACAGTATTAATGGATCAAGGGTCTTTATAATTCGGTATGCCTTGGTACGTCTTGATATGATTTGGATACCCGAGGCTTTGGGTGAATAGTCTGGGGATCAGGAAATGAGTGTTTTAATGATGCAAGTCACTGACTTGATCAGATAAAAGAAGGTGTTATTCAAACGAAGGTCCAGCCTTGATCAAGAGCAAAGGAAGAGAAGGACAAAGGAAAGAATATAAGGGCTTGGCGGTTTATGACATGCAAAAACCGAGAAATGGAGTTTCTGCTGACTGAGGAGGAAGAGAAACGAGAGGATGGATGGACGAGAGAGGAAGTGAAGCGCGAGGAACCTCTAACGTTAGAGCTGGAGTTGGTCCGTAGGATGAGACACGATCAACAGTTACATTATACATGCGATACGATACGATGTGATACATTATAAAGACAAGGATCTGACAGCCATAAACGGTGGTAGTTAAGGTGAAAACCCCATACGATCAGTACGGAGTACATACATACAGCCAAGGCGAGCGATCTCAGGGTCCAGGGGCACGATGCGAGTAACACGAAACATTCAAACCGAACATGGTAGTTCAAGAGTCTTTGTCTGCTGTTTGAAGAAAACGCTTGGTGTCGCTTCTTTGCCCAAGAACTGAGATTCAGGATGGAAGCACGGTAGCCTGTGGTTGGTGTGCTAACAGGGCTGGTGCAGAAATGGCTGCATATGTGTTAGCGACGGGTGGCCTCAGCTTGTACTGTAGCCTGTAGGTTCCTAGCGGCAGGGGTTGCACGTCTCAAAGTCAACAAGCTCCTGTTTCAGCCTGTTCTGTCGCAAGCAAGAGATTGATGAAGACGGGTTATGCAGGGGTGTAGTTGTCACTGCTTGCGCTCGTTTTTCATCAGTTGGGTTTTCTGTGATAGATTGGCAATCTACAAAGGATTAAATCCTCTTTGACGGCTTATGCAGTTGAGGATAAATGATATGATGTCGATTAACGCTCAGACTATCATCAGGTGAAGTCCATGTCTGATGGTTCGAATGATCGACAGGTGGTTGGCTATGCTGCTTCAGATGCTCAAACTCGAGACACACTCAACGATCTGAAGCTCGTTTTGCTTCGGAATCTTCAACCTTGGACACATTGGGTCTCATGATATCGGCTATCGTTTCCATCAGCCTCATCTGGGGTTTGCACATCAAATGCCGGTCCCCGCCAGCAAAGTCGGCGATTCATGGCGCATGCAAGACGGTCCGATATCAAAAGACTCAGAGGATGTTTGATGTTAGATCATTTGTGGATAAAGTCATCATTTGATGGACCCTGAAAAAGCTTTTTGCTTCAGTCCCAGATTCCATCTGTAGTGGAGACAGGCAATTGTCCAATGCTGCTCCAGCCATCATGACAATCAAGAGCGGCCGGACATGTCGTCACTGTTGTTTCGTGAAGAAGAAGTGTTTTATCATCAAACAAGACAATAAACTTGCAACTGGTAGGATGGCCCAGAGAGGAAAACCGTCACATGCCCCGTCATGAACAAAGCCGCTCTTGATAATACATACATAGGTACTAAACATCCAATCGCATTCATCAGTGTCGAATTTCACCGAGTGGCCGTCCCCATAGAGGGCTAGCAATATCTTGCCCCCATCACCACATCCCAGACACGCACAAACTAAATGACATTTGAAGTTGAAATAGACGCAGTCTTCAGCTTCCTCACCGTGCTCTCTCACCGAAGCCACTTGAGAACGCGCTCCAATCACATACCTCGCCCATGTCCATGTTCACCATCACGAACAGAACGCACTGAAGCGCGGATCCGTCATTAGCGCGCTTGCGGACATGAACGTTTTCTCTTCTTGAGGCTCCACGGTGAGATCCACCCGGTCCAAGGGAGCGAGCGAGCGAGCACGGCGGGTACTAGGCAGAAAAGGGGAGTGAGCTCTTTTTAAGGGTTCGGGCTGAGGTTCATGGTGAGAGACGAGACGAGTTGTGTGCGCTTCTACGGATGCAAGGTTGACGAGATGTGACTGCGGCTCCGAGATGGACTGGCTGTCAGGGATGCACTACAACCCCCCAATGTTTATCTGATTCTGGGGTATAGTACGAGAATCACGTCAAGATCTGGGGATTACATTTTTTATCTAGATTTCACTGTGATAAGGTTGGGCGAGGCAGAAATATCTTGATGGTGTTTTGATACAAGTCATCACCCCACGCAAATGATACCTAGACAAAGCCACGAAATTTGATCAGCAACCAGCAAATGGCAAGCAAGACATGGAGCAATTACTCAGAAGAACGGGATGAGAGATATAAGACAATAGCTTCTGTCATGAATTGCGACCCAATTACAGCGGCAAATCTACCATTCGCTCACCTATTTGGGCAATACCGCGATTCTTGTAAGTGAGAGGCTGTTAGCGACATGTGAATGCGCTAGGAGCTTCCCAAACGAGACCAAATCGCGCATCGTATCTTCGATGGACACCTAAAATTAACTACCCTCTACTATCTTCACTTTGAAGTTCCTACGGTTAATGTCGTTCGCTCTGTATCCAATGTTGGACTAATCCGCGCCAATGGTTAAAAGCCTCACCGACACACCGTGGTGTCTCCTAACACCTCAGAAATCAGAAATGAGAGCGCGAGAAACCGGGTTTTCACCGACGGCTGACAGTCCCCTATCCTTCAGGGTCGGGATTTTCCATCTGCAGGCTTGAAATCCAGGAAATGACCGCATTTGATTGGCAAACTGGAATTAAATGGATATGTATTGCAGCGTGGACTGCCTCAAGGATCAAGATTGGGGACATAAAAAGCAAGATGTTGAATAGGTACTTGGTGTTCCCGTATTCCGGATGCCGAAATAAAGTAACGGTCTTTCATGACAAGGCTGTTTCTCATGCGCTCTATCACTCGCCAAAAAGGCTTCAAGGATCAAGCAGTCCACAATGAATGCCATGTCACATTTCTCTGCTCAAAGCGAACCGGACGGCCGGAAACGGAGAGACACCGAGATTGATGTCAAGCTGACCACGCAGCAGAACAAAGATAGAGGATAATGATATGTACTGGCGGTGGTGGTAATGGTGATGGTGTGGCAGAATTATGCACGTCGTTGTGATAGCAATGCACGTCGTTGTGATAGCATCACGTC